GAGAAGGGATGAAGGAGGAGAGATTTAAAAACAAATAATTACAAGCTTTAGGAAAGGACTCCCCTTGGTTTCTAGTTTTCTCTGACACTTACACCTGTGCAGGTGTGTTTGTTCTGTGGATGGTTGTTAAAGTAGGAAAGCCATCTCACACCCTGCCCCCACCTCCCCTGACAGAGGAGCCAACATCCTAGTCAAATGGCAGGTCTTTGGGGGTGAGATCATGGATTGGGACCAGGATTAGAGAGAGAAGCAGCAGCCCTGTGGCTAGGAGGGTGTTTTCCATGTTCCTTCTTCATTCCCGTCACGGGCCCTATTTTGGCTCTCACCATAGGAAGAAGTGTCATCATCTCTCTCTTTATGACCACTGTCCTCAGACCACAGGCTGTCACCCTCAAATCCCTGACACCAGTACTGCCATCATCTCAGACCATCTGCTGCTTCCAGTTTCCCTGGCTCCTCAAGATTGGGTTGAGCAACATGTGTTTAATAGTAAAGGCAATAGTAGCAGCCATCATTGGCATGAATCACTTCATCGCTCTGAAGCAGGCACTGTACATATACTAAAGGCTTTATGCAAATTATCTCATCACCGATCACATGATAATTGCCTGTTTTCTTTTCCATCTCCCTTGTGTGATATAAGGGCAAGAACTGCCTGTGCAGAGTAGCTCAATAAATCGATGCGGAGTGGATGAGTGACGGGTTATCACCGTCCTATGATAGCCATCACCCCAAGCACTGGCATCATCATTTTTCAGGCATGACAATCATCTCCTTCCCGGTGTCACTGTTACTGAGATCAAACCCACTTAGCGATTGGCGTCTTACTGCACAATCAGCAGCCTGAAAATCGTGCCACCAACCCCATCCTTTTATATATTTCCAGGAAAATAATGGATGTGTTTTAGAAAACCTGGGCTTGAAAGCATGGAGTTACCATCTGAGTTTTGAAGTCGGTGTGAGGGATGGGAAAGAAGAAGAGTGAGGCAAAAAGGGCATGGGTTGGTGGAATGAGGGAAAACAGTCCCGCCTTGCCACGCCAGTGTTAACTGTGGGGAAACGTGTATGAGCAGGAACCTGCTCTGAGCATCTGCTCTGTGAGGACCATGTTGCACCTTCAGCTTCTCCTCCAGGTGACTTCACTCCTTCCCAGGACCAGCATTTCCCAAACTTTTGCAATAGCCTACCTTCACCTTCCCCAACAAGTCATTCCATAGCTATATAATTCCTCTCTCCCTCCAAGTTCTTCCTTCTCTCCCTCAGCCTCTTTTCTTCCTTCCTCCTTGTCCCTGTCCCTCTCTTTCCTTTCTGTAATTTTGAAAAGGGAACTGACATCCATTGAGATTTTACTCTGCCAGTTGTTGGGCTAATTCTTTTCATGTACATCAGTCTTCTTACTGGTTCTTCTTAGCAAGCTCACCTTGAAAGCATTACTACCCCTACTTTGCAGAGAAGGAAAACTGAGGCTCAGGGTGATGCAGGAATTTACCCAAGGAAATGCAATAGAAAAGCAGCAGTCTGACCTCACAGCTGCTGTTTCTCTTTCTCGCTCTCTCTCTGTAAATCAATAATATATTTATTTCAGAAAGGGAGGGAGAGAGAGGTAGAAACATCAATGATGAGAGAGAATCATTGATTGGCTGCCTCCTGCATGCCCCCTACTGGGGATTGAGCCCGCAACCCAGCCATGTGCCTTGACCTGAAATGGAACTGTGACCTCCTCCTCCTGGTTCATAGGTCGATGCTCAACCACTGAACCACCTCGGCCAGGCTCACAGTTGCTGTTTCTAACTTCTCTCCACTCCCCTACCCCGCATTTACTAAAAACATCAAATCTCTCCTTTAAAGTATCCATTGCTTTCAAATGCAAGCAAATTCATTTTCTTGGTATTAGACTAAAATTGAGAAAATCAAAATCTAGAGTCAGATTCCTTAGCCACAGCTGCCACTTGTGTATTCATGTGAGCTTGTTCAGGTCAGCTTAGAGCCCTGTGTCCAGGGGCCTGCCTTTTTCAAAATACCTCCCTAATGCCCCAGCAACTCCCTTTCACCACCATTCCCCATCTTGACTTTCTCTTTGCATTTTAAGAAAGGCAATTTCAAGGACCAGCCTAAGTTTTAGGAAGCCAGGTATAAATATTCCATTGCCCAAGGATTAGTGGAGATATTACAACTGCGTGCACTTCAAAGGGAAGATGTAACTTTCGTTATAAGGTCTAAGCATTTCCCTCCACCCTCTAACCTTCTGGACAACCTTTGGGACCTTCCTAACATGGTAGCTGGGGGAAGGAGGGCCTTTAGCTGCTAAAGTGAGGCCCAGCTTTGAGTAATGAAAGGCAAGTCTTCAGTCATTATAGAGACCGATCCTCAAAGCGGCACCAAGTCCTGTCTTGGATCAAGGCTTTGACACACAGTAGCCACAATGCAGCTACTGGCTACCTCCTGGGACAGTGCAGATTTGGAACTCTACACCATCACAGTGAGTCCTAATCCACAGCTTTGCTCTTGGGGGAAATCATTTATTAACATTATAGTTTCTATTCCTCAATCTCCGCTCCTTGGTTCTTCAATTACAGAACAGGTTTACCTGTCTCTCTCTGCCAAGCAGTGGGAATGAGGCTGTTCCCTCTTGGCTAAAGGTGATAGACTCCTAGGTCCCCAGGGGGATTAGTCTTCATTAGCAGGTGTCTTCCCTCTTCAGTCACTTCCCAAGGAAAGGTCTGTGCATTCAAATGCCTGGAATCACTCTGTGCCTTAGGAGTACCCACCAGTGGTGCAATTACAAATCACTTAAGTTCATCCATTTTTCCTGAACCTTCTAAATGGATAATTGAATTCATCCTTTTGCAGCAGTGGTCTGAGTTCTGAGTTGAGATTTAGAAGCTGTGTGTCCTCCCTGTTCCACTCCTACCCACCCCACTCACCCCCAAGCTAGAATGATGACATATCCTGGCTCACTCTGAGCTTCTGGAGAGCAGGGGCCGGACATTACTCATCTCTGTAGCTCCGGTGCCTCGCCAGGATATGGCATGTGGAGAGCGCCCGGTGAATGTTTGTTGAAGAAATTAATTAGTCAATTACATAATCAATCAAGATGCCTTCCGCTTTCCCAGTGGGATTTTCACTAATTATTCCTGCAGAGAGTCCATTCCCCAGCACAGTGATCAGCAGATCTGGCTGCGCATTAGTATTACCTGGGGAGCTTTTACAAACCTACAGATGCCAGGGCCCTGCCCCAGACCAATAGAGTCCAAATCTCTGACGATGGGGCTCAGGCATGGGTAAGTTTGCAAAAGCTCCCCCAAAGGATTGCATTGTGCAGCCAGGGGTGCGAGCCCCTGCAGAGTTCTGATGTGGCAGCCACAGTACGTTTTCATCTTCTTTCTTCAGCCCAAGTCCTACCTCATCCACTGTCACATTGGCTGCAAGAGTAACAGGAATTTGATCTCAATAGTTACCCTACTCAGTTATGAGACAATTCTGTTCCCACTGCTCCTAAAAGAGAGTATGGGGAGATAAAACTCCCTGTGGGAGCTTTACTTTAATGTCTTAATGAAGATTCAGGATAGAACTGGGTTGAAACAAAATGAGAATTTCTTCCTTTGAATCCTCCCTGGAAGTTTAAGTTGTGAGTGAAATTTGGTGTCAGGTTGATGTTCTGAAAGCAGAGCGGAAAGCTGCGTGCACGCTATGATAGTAAGTACGGGAAAGATATCTATAAGAACGAAAGGCCTGGGGATGATCCTGCTCTGGTGCCATTTGCTTCTTTATATGGGGCTAAGTGAACTAGAACTCTAGTAGTAACTGCAGGTAAAGCAAGAGCCAAGGGTGTGGGGAGACCAGGGAATGGGGAGACCTGGAGGTCCTGCCCATGAGAAGCAGCTGGGAGAGAGTATATGGGCTGGATGTGGTGCACTGGGCATTACCACAGGTTGCCATGTGCGGGAGGAAGGAGCTCTGAGAAATGACTGAGCCAGGGGCGACCAGGAAGGGAACACAGGAGCCAGGGACAAAATGTATGGATGGGAAGAGGATGATCAGACAATACTATAGCCAGAACTGAAATGAGAGGGAGAAGATGGAGTTAAGAATGGATAGAGAGGTTCAGAGCTAAGGCCAAGAAGTGTTGGGCATCCTCTGACACCGGTCTGGCCTGTGCTGTCAGGCAGGGCTATTTCTAAACAGGGGCTTCTGGCAGGGTATTTGTTTCTTCTTCCTCTTTGTTTTCCCAAACATTACATAATAACAGTTTTCTAGCATTAAGCACTGTGCATTGCAAAAATGAGTCAAAAGAAACAGAATGAAGAGATACTAATAATAACTACTATTTATTGAGCACCTACCATGTGCCAAACACCAAACAAGACTTTGCACCCACATCTCAGTTCATCCTCTGAGAGGACGTCATCGTTATCATCCCCACTTTAAAAATGAGAAAACTGAGGCTAATTGGGCTGTGAGGGTCACGCGGCCAGCACACTGCACAGCCAGGATTCAGTCTGTGTCTGTGGGACTCCAGAGAGAGGCATTGGCTCCCAAGCGTTTGGTCTCCAGCTCCATCTGGATGAATGACATCGCCTCCTCACACCCCAGCTCCGCAGCTCACCAAAGGCCACCTCTCCGTCACCAGGACAGCGACGGGCTCACGCCAGTACTGGTTATCCTCACGCGTTTTCATTAGGTGGTGGGGGGTTGTGAGACTCGACCACAGGCTGTTTTTCAAATTTATTTAATGCATCCATCATGCTCTGAAGCTATTTGCTTCTTTATATTGGACAGATGTAATGAGATTTTGGACACTAAAAAATGTTTTTATTAAAAGTTATGACCCAGAGCTAGTTGGTAGGGACTGTGCCATAAATCCCAAGAAGTGTGCGAATTTATAAAGGATGTAGCGACATAACCTTAACCTTTTAGGCCACTCCACAGATTACAGGATCTCTTAAACTAATATTATCTCCCCGTCTCTCCCCACTGCTGGCCAAATAATAATAATAATGTATGTGGTTATCGATGTGGCTGCTCGTCCTCTGCTCTTAGCCACAGTTGACTCGTGGGGAGCCAGTGCCTGGCGGAAGCTGATGGTTGATGACGGAATTTGCTGATGGTTGGTCCCAAGGCCCCACTGTAGTGGGCACGCTGGTTCCCTGGCTCTGCTTTGCAGCCTTGTCGCTGAGGCTGAGTGGCAGAATGTCACTTTTGCCACCGAGGGTGAGAGTGAGTTCTGACAGATGAGTATTATGAGGCTATTGGGTGATGGTTTCTCCATTCCTCTATTGCCAATAGCCAGCTCTCCTAAAAATTAGAACATGATACAATGATTCCTGTGCATTATAACTCATTGTAATGTCAATAGTATCAGATTTATATTAATGTTATAGTGCTTGGAAATCATCCAAAGAATAATTAGCTCATACTATAGACCAAAATAAGTTGATAGATCTATTTACAGAGATATTATGTATTATCTATAGTAAATCTTATTGTGGTGACTTTGTTAAATTAACATTTATTAAGTTGAGCCCTGGGGCGTCAGATGGAGGGCCGAAGTTCAACAAAGACCACAAGAGAATTGAAGTAGAGAAGCTTATTAGTCACAGGCCCAGGAGGAGGGGTCACCAGAAGAGGTCAAGGCAGCTGGCCTGAGAGAGCCACAGGACCTAAGGCACATGCCTTTATTAGGCCCGTGGGTGAAGTGCCTGTATTTCCTGGGCTAAGCCTGGATTAGGCCACTCAAACCAAGCACAGCAGGGCTTGGGGTCTTATCGAAGAGGTAACAAGGGGAGGGAAGGCCCTGGGTGGTGGGCAGACTGCCTACCATGGGAGTCCTCATGGGACATGCCTCCCCACAGGGGTTGGAGCCAGTTTAAGGCCCCTGTAGGCCACTTGGTCACACAAAATGGGTCCTGAGACAGCAGTATTTTGGAGTAGTTTAGTGAAACGCTCGATAGTTATAAACAACAAAATAAAAAATTAAAACAATTAGATTTGGTCAACAACCAGCTGCTTGTAAAACATGCATTCATTCATGTATTGTTGGACACTGCTGTGTGCCAGACCCTCTGTTAGCTCTGGGGATTCAAAAGTAAATACAGCGCGGTCCCTGCTTCGGGAAGCTCACCGTGGGGTCAGCACAGATGATGTGCTGTTATTATCAGAGGAGGAGTTTCAACTCAGAAGATCAGGGAAGGCTTCATGGAAGAGGTGGCCCTTCAGCAGAGTTTGAGGAATCGGATGAGCTCTGAGCATGCAGGGGTGAGGGGAAGAGCATTTTAAGCAGAGGGGACAGCGGACACAAAGGCACCTATAAAACCAGCTGCTTGCAGGCTGCTGTAAAGACTTTGGTTTGCTAAAGCAGATGACATTTTTGTCTTTTAAAACAAAAATCTCAAGGGTAAACATGGTCTTATCTGTTGCCACTGTTGAGACTGGCTGGGTAATGCCTGTAATTTCGGAAAGATGAACTTTGAACCACTGCTGTATGTCCTAATCAAGCCTCTGTTTGGTCATCTGCTTATGCTGGGAACACATTCCAGGGTTTTCATAGAAGGTTGGCAACAGCTCCTGCCACTGAGGCCGTGGGAGCATAAGCCGTAGATACCATCCTCATCAAACTCATTAATCCCTGTCGTGTGTGTGTCATTCACTTCATCCTCATTCATCGCCCCTTCCACTTGCAGAATGGCCAGCCAATGGAGGATTTCGAAGAACGCTTTGCCGCGGCCACCCCGGTAAGAGTGCGAGGGCCCTGTGAGCTGTTTCATGTCATTGCCCATCGTTCATTTCATGCTCATAAGTCGTGCCTTGTGCTTACAGAACAGAAACCTGCCCGCGGACATTGATGAGATTCTTGAGGCAACGAAGGTAAGGCCTCCAGGCTCTTAAGTGAGGGTTGTTCTGGTCACTGACATGCATCCCATAGCACCCCCACCCAGCCTGCGTGAGGAGCAGGCGCTCGTCTCGGCTCTGTTCTAGTGTTCCCAGGATGAGTCCTGGCGGGCACTGCAATAGGGTCAAATAATAACTGTATGTATGTGTGTGCACATATGTGCATGTGTGTGTGCGTGTGTGCATGTGTATGTGAAAGAGGGTGTATTGGACAGGAAGTGATACTCCTTCATTTCATTCAACAAATATTTTTTGAGCACCTAACAGGTCCTAGGCATTCCGATAAATGGCTGGAGGTTTAGTGAAGAGGAAGACGCTCATACTACAACACAGTGCAACACTGTGTAGCATAGGATAGGATAAGGTTGGGTGGGTGGGGAAGATAGAGGAGGGAAGAGTAGGATATGGTGAGGTGGCCTAGGGCAGTGGTCAGCAAACTCATTAGTCAACAGAGCCAAATATCAACAGTACAACGATTGAAATTTCTTTTGAGAGCCAATTTTTTAAAACTTAAACTATATAGGTAGGTACATTGTTATTAACTTAATTAGGGTACTCCTAAACTGGCCTTTGCTAGAAACATCCTCAATCTGATTGAGGTACGTTCGCTGAGGTCGACCCCTTCCAACTCTCCCATCCACACTTGTCTTGTATACTTGTTTCATCTATCTCCTTTCATTCATCCTCTCTATATGTCCACCCCCCACTTCTTCTAACACCATTTCTTCAAAATAGACTCGCCCAGGCCGAAAACCGGCTTCTGCGCATGGGCCACGAAGTTTCAATCGCACTGTATGTGCGCGCCCGCACCTGGTATTTTGTGGAAGAGCCACACTCAAGGGGCCAAAGAACAGCATGTGGCTCGTGAGCCGCGGTTTGCCGACCACAGGCCTAGGGGAATGTAGATAGTGTGACAGTGTAGTGGGTATTCAAACACAGAAACAGCATGTGCTAAGTGCCCCATTGAGAATAAAAGACATGCAAGACATGTTCTTCAGTCAGCATACCCTGAAGTAGATGTACTGGTTTACAATCAATATTTACTGGTTTACAGCTTGGCTGATATATAGGCCAATGAATATGATCACCCCTGAGGGTGTTTGGGAGGCTTCTAGGGTTTTTGACCTTGGTTGCAAATTAGAATCACCAGGAGAGCTTTTAAAGTTTTAGGTTCTAGGCTGTACAGAATTTCCTGGGGTGTGAAGAAGGCATCAGTATTTTCCCCCTGGTGATTTCAGTGTGCATCCAAGGTTGAGACCACTGAAATAAAAGTATCACACAGCTGTTCTGTGTAGTGCAATGGGGTGCAAACTGAGTTAGGAGACATTTCCCAGGAGGGAGGAAAGGTCCTCTAATTTGTCCCCTGAAGGATGATGGGTGGATAGGCAATGGGGGAAGGAATTAGTGTTCTAGGTAGGAGGAAAGCATGTGCAAAAGCCTGCGGTGGCCTTTCCTTTTATAGCCCTTGTGCTTCTGGGCTCATGGCACTGCCCTGATTGTGTCTGTAGGCCTGCCTTTCCTTCAAGTAACCAGCTCATGAGAGTAGGAGCAGGAATGTGCCTCATTCTTCCCTGTATCCCCTGCTCTTGGCACAGTAGCTGATGTGCCATACTTTTCCTGAATGAAGGCTCTCCTGATGCCAAACATAGGTAGTAAGAATGTGACTTGGGGTCAGTCAAGGACATCTCAGCCTTCAGCAGTGGTGCCTTCAGAATTTCTCTGTAGGAGGGGCTAGGAGTCTAGTTGCCATAGTCTAGTTCAGTGGTCGGCAAACTGCGGCTCTCCAGCCACATGTGGCTCTTTGGCCCCTTGAGTGTGGCTCTTCCACAAAATACCACATGCGGTCACGCACATACAGTGCGATTGAAACTTCGTGGCCCATGCGTTCTAGTTGAACGAAGCACCCGGAGGCTAACCTTGGAATAGTGGTTGTGTAACATGGCAGATACTCTTGTGAAAACATCATTTGTTCATATCAAAGGATGGCTGTGAAGGGACAGGTCTGATGCAGACATTGATGGGATGCCCCATCAACACCCAAGCTACCCATCCTCTCCGTCTCTGGCCTTGGCATCTTCCGCTGTCACTCTTCTTACCCTGGACAATGCCAGGCCTAAAGAAAGGGCAGAATCTGCCAGCAACTGCCAAGTCTTTCTTCACCTGAATATGTCTGAAGTGCTAGTAATGGAAAGGCAAGGAGGCACCTTGAGCCGGCCTTCTAGGTGACGTCTTCAGATGAATGTGACTCATGGCAGACCTTTTAGGAGCTCGGCTGCTGGTTAGAGAGCACGATGGAGCTGGACTTCCACAGGGTAGGAAGGTAACCGAGGCTCTGTAACGTGACAGATAAACGAGATGCTGCTCAGGCTGCGGGTCAAGCCCAGCTCTGTTAGCTCATGGGTCAGAGGCAAATCACTTAACCTCTTGGTCTCAGTTAGCTCATCTGCAAAATCCAGTCAATGAGAGAGACACCTGTGCTGCCGATGTCATGGGGCTCGGTGAGCATCACATGCGATGATAACGTATCACCAAGTGTATTGTAAACTCTACAATGTTTGACAAATGTGGATGGTTAGTTTTATTCTCTTCAGAACCTTAAGTGATTCATTATGACAATCTTATCCGAAGGAACGTGGTTTGTTAGGTTACAAATAAAAGGTCTGGGGTTAACATGGGGAAGGAAGTTGTTAAAATAGATGTTACTCCAGATTCTCAATCACATATAGCCATTAGAATTACTTTTAATTATATGGCCTAAGAGTCCATTTTTATATAAAATTTAAATTAACTCAAGGTTCCATTTAAACAGCAAGGCCAATGGAATGAAATAACAATCTATGTGTTACGCCTCTGCATGCTTTTCTCATTCAGTCCTTGAGTGAAAACCATCAGGCAGGGGGAAGTCTACATCTCAAGAACGAGAGTTATTTTAAACATTGTGTTTTCATCTTTAAAAACGAAAATAAATAAATAAATAAATGAAAAGTTGTGTTTAAGGAGAAAATGAGCCAGTACATTATATGAACGATGTTAGCAACAGTGTGCCATGAGGTCAACACATTTGAAATGTAAATTGTGAAACTTAATTATTAACTTTATTTTAATATTTTCCTACCAGTGAAGATAGTGGGGGCCATTCTAATAGCACCGAGTTCCAATTGTAGGAAGCCCAGAAGCTTCATTTGAGTTAGAGTTATTACTCCTGTGAATTTGAGAGAAAGTCTAAAGGATTGGCATAGTTTCACCAAATAATGTAAAATGATGGAAGCAAGCTAAAGAAACAAGGAGTATTTAGGGTCCAGCCAGATTTGGGAGAGCACCCAGCATGCTGGCCACCCTGTTACCATCTCATTACCTTGGACCATTATCCTTTGGGAGAGAATCAGGTTGGTAGAGAGTGGGCAGAAAAGACTGAAATGTGCTGAGTCCCACACGAGCTGGGCCCTGTCCCCTTCGCTGGTCTCCTCTCCTGCTCCTCTCTCCACCCTTGCTGGTTCAACCAAACTGTTAGACAGCCTGGGGCCGCTACCCCTCTTGCTCCTGTATTTCCATCTGCCCGGATGGCCACTCCTCATCCTAGTTGCCTGGGTGACTGCTCCTCTTCTTCAGGACTCAGATCAGAGCTTTTCTTTGAGAAAACCTTCATTGAGCTTCTTTGCCAAAAGCTGGCTGGTCCCTCCTAGGCTGGCCCATGGAGACGTCTGTTGCCATTCCTGCCACAACGCCTTAAAATTAGCTCTGTCTATGGGTTGTCCCACCAGACTGTAAGCTCCCTGCAGGCCGGAACTTGGCATTTCTCGTTATTCTGTTCCCAGCACCTAGCACAGTGCCCACCACCTACTGCTCATCCGGTGTGTACGGGAAAAGCATTGCATGGTTGGGAAGGAAATCACCATGCACAGGGCCCTGCTTTATGCCAGGCACTACTGCTCATCTGAAAGCTTAAAGGGAAGAGTTGAATGTGAGTTAGCCAGGCTAAGCTGCTTTCAGCCAAAAGAGCCTTTGGTACCTGTTAAACCGGGCTTTGCCAAACTCCAAAGAAAGTCCTGCTATTAGTGTTGTCAATAAATCCGCAAAGGAGATACTACCATCCCCATTGCCCAGGTGAGGGAACTGCAGCTCTGAGAAGTGGCAGAGATAGATCGGAGGTGGTAGAACCCAAACATATGCCCAGGTGGGCACCTTGTCTGGCTGCCAGAGCCCCTCACCTGTCTGTAGGAGAGAGCGTTCCCTTCTTCATGGTGAGTTGTAGAGATAGGAATTCAGGTGCAGGGGCCCTGCATGGCAAGCAGGTGAATGCGCCCTGTCCTTTCTATTGAGTGGTTTTAGGTTCCCCCAATGAGAGTTGTGCAATCTGAAGAGGAGCAGAGTGTTTTTCCCTCAGTGGGCAGGTTTGCACAAAGCATATGATTATGTACTTTAAGTCAGGCCACTGGGATCCTGGCCAGGGACTCCCCATGGTCTCTGCAGCTGGGAGAGTCTGCAGATTCATTTCTAAGTGTATCTTAAAGGGTTCCTCCACAGAGGCTGGCTGGCGTCACTCAGACACTCCTGGATGATGGATGGGGAATGTAGATGGCACGGTGTCTGCAGCCATGGAGTTCTGAGGACTGATTAATAGTGTATGCACTGGGCTGTTTCTGATGCCCTTCCTGGTATTAAATACTATGATTTCTTTTCCTCCAACTATATTTTTTATTCTCAAGACAGACTTTTTCAGGGACTGTCATCTGACTGCATACTCCGCATGGAGAAAACTCAAGTCTTAGCCTCTGTGAGGTCACCTCTGTGAGGCTCGGTTTACTCTTCTGTAGAAATGAGGATGAGGATGCCTTCTTCTCAGGGTCACTGTTGTTGGGGGCATGCACGGAGAGGTGGCCATGAAGTCTGTCTTACTGTACTTAGTGTGTGAAGGTCTAAGTATATGAGTGAACACACGCATGAAAGAAAAACCAATGATGTGACTGCCTTCTTGTGTTATCTCCTGGAGATGGGAGACAGGGCTACCATCGGTGGTAAATACGTGTGAAGGGTCTTAGTATTGCTGATGGGAGGCGGCCAAGCGCGAATCTCCTGGACTGAGTCTGGATAAACAGCCAGACACACTGAAGCAAGAATTGATTCTGGCCGCATCCCAGGTGCTGTCTCTAGGGTCATGAGGTGTAGCAATGACCACTGGGCTTATTTTTTATGTAGGGATGTTGAGAAAGAGAAATACTCATCCTCCTAGGATGCTGTGTTTCAAGAAGTACCCCCCGCAGCAGCAGTATTCCTTCTGGTGACATCATTATCTTTTATGTCTTTTCAGGCTGTGACCCAATTAGAACTTTTTGGGGACATGTCCACCCCTCCTGATATAACCTCTCCCCCCGTAAGTATTCACTTCCCTCTGCACCCGGCATCCCTGCCCTTCCCTTCTTCGGTCTCCCAGGGAAAAGCATGTGTGCTTTGTAGCAGAGGCCTGATGGTGGGGGTCAGCCCTGGCTCCTTCAAGCTGTGTGATCTGGGAAAAATAACTAGTGATTCTAAATCTCAATTTCCTAGGCTATCTGTTAAGAGAGTTATGATACAGGCTTCTGTTTTGAGAAATAGATACATCCGTGCATTAGCAATTACAGGTCACCTGGGGACTTGCTGTTATGCTGGGCAGCGGAGACATGAATGGGATGTGGCCGCTGCCTGCAGGAGCACATTACCTAGCTGGGAATAGGGCAGGAAACTCAACAGGACAGCAAGGCCATGAGGCATCTGACAGCACCTACCCACATGGCCAGGTGGTCAGCCCAGTAAAGGAAGCATCTTCTCCTCACCCTTTCTTCCTTTCTTTCTGACTTTCTCCTCTCTCCTCTCTCCTCTCTCCTCTCTCCTCTCTCCTCTCTCCTCTCTCCTCTCTCCTCTCTCCTCTCTCCTCTCTCCTCTCTCCTCTCTATCTCTATCTCTATCTCCTTTTTCTTTCCTCTCTCCCTCCAACCTTCCTGCTGGTTTTACTGACCTTCTCACAAAGCATTGGATTCCCAGCGCCAGGTTCAGCAGGCACCTCAGACTTGCTGGCAGGGAGACAGGTTGCAGGAAGCCCTCATTTGAAAATGAAAAGAAGAAAAAAGGGTATTAAAACCAAAAACAAATAGAAACCCAGAGAACTGGGTGCATTCAAAGGCCACCCTGCAGCCACTGCAAACAACAGAGCCAGCTAGATGGTCCCTTCAGCTCCTCCCCCCACTCTCTACTCCCTGAGATGGGTGGGGCGCAGTCAGCACAGCTGCACCAGCTGAAGCTGCTGGCAGTGGGCCGCTCCCCAGGGCACTGTGCAGTTGTGCAAACCCAGGGATGGTGCTGTGGTTCATTGGCGAGATGCGCCTCACAGAGAAAAGGCTGTAACCTCACCACTGAGGACAGATGGCATTAGTCCCTGCTGCCCCCAGCTGCCGCCAGGGAATCTAGACACAGCTGTCCTGCCCCCAACACCTGATGCCCAGAGCAGCCATAAGGCGGGGACAGCAGCTCCTGTCTCCAGGGAAGCCGGGCAGCTCTAGCCAGTCTCATCCCTGCTCCATCCCTGAGCGAAACAGCTGTGTCCTGGGCACTGGGAATGTCAGAACCCTGGGCTATGGAGCTAGAAAGGCCAGAAGGGATCTTCTAACCTTATTCCCTTCATTTTACAGATGAGCAGACTGAGGCCCATAGAGGGCATGTGACTCACCACATAGGGGAAAAGGGAATGATGTTGATTGTGTTTAGAAGTGCTTACAGCAGCATCTCATGGCTGTGTTCCTGGCCCTGAACCCAGTGCAGTCCAAATGGGTATTTAATTATCCTCAGAACAATGTCCTGCTTCTCACAAGCTGCTAGTCTAATGGCCTTGTCTAATTGCCATGGTTTCAGGATTAATTGCTTGCCCCAGTCTATCCTCAGGGTGTGTGTTTGGGGGGGGGGGGGCAGGACGGGGTATAAGAATGTTATGTCATTGAATAGATATACACTGTAGGCAAAGGGCCTCAAATAGGGGAGGACCTTTAAAAAGAAACTGCACACTGATGGCTTTAATTCAGTGCCTCTCACCTTCCCCAACAGTTCATGCCACACCTTCCTGGAACCCCAGCCTGGGCCAGGCACTATGCAGTTTCCAGCTCAGGCATTTTTTTTTTTTTTTTAAGTATCTTCTTGGAAATCTACACTTCTTCTTGCAAGTGAATATTCAGGCAAGATTCAGGGAGGCACCAGGATACAAGGACCTCTGCTCCAGTTCCTAAACTTTATTTGTTCATTTCGTCAACAACTATTTACTGACTGTGTTTTAAGTGACAAGCCCAGAGCTGGTGGGTGCACAGTAGTAGATTCTGAGTGGATTATGTCAATCTGGATTGACTGCATCTAAAGGAGGAAAGCCAGGTATTATGGGATAATTTGAAGGCCTGAAAACAGGCCTAAGGGGTAGGGGCTCAAACTAAGTAGTCACAATACTGGCCTTCATTTGCTGAGCACCTACTATATGCCTCCGCATGGTGCTGAATGATTTGAATGCATGACCTCAGTTAATCCTCATAGTCGCTCTAGGAGTAGGTATCACTTTGCCCATTTTACAGATAATCTGTGTAACCAGCTAGTGGTTTGCACACCACCTAAGTGGCCGGACCCTGGCTGGTTTCTGCAGCATTCCCCCTACCCCCCCCCCCCCACACACACACACACATGTTCCTGCACCAGCTGCCTCCCATCCTGGATGAGCGCTGAGCCAGGTCTCCCAGGAGCCTCATGCATCCTCCCCCTCTCTCTGACAGACTCCTGCAACTCCAGGTGATGCCTTTATCCCGTCTTCATCTCAGACACTTCCGGCTAGTGCAGACATGTTTGGTTCTGTATCTTTCGGCACTGCTGCTGTACCCTCAGGTAAGCCCTCTTTTTTCCACCTGCTTCCCTCCTTTGCAGAAAGGGTTGGACCAGCCGCCAGATGTGCCAGAGCACCTGTGGAAGCACCGTTCTCTCGTAACTCTTCAGGTGACATTGAGAAGCTGCCATGGGGTGGCAGGTGGGGTGGCGCCTTTCACAGAGGTCTAGTATGCTGCTGGCTGGAATACAGTGATGGCCGTCACATGGAATGGTCAAGATTCCATGTACTCAGGTGGTTAGATTTAGGGAGCCTGGTGCACACACAGCCATGCAGATCAGCGCAAGTCCATTTCTTCCTGTCCATCTGAGCCAGAGGAGAAGAGGTAGCCAAGGAGAGTGGGTGAGTCTGTTCTCCAAAAACCTCTTGCGTTCTGATGGACAGACGTGATCTGCCTCCTGGTTTGGTGGAGATTCAGGAGGGCTAGGGTCCCCATACAGGAAACCTAAGGGACAGAGCAAAATACTTCATGGTGAATTGGGAGGATGATGGGGCTTTTAGTGATTTAGAACAGCGGTCACCAACCAGTGTTCCATGAGGTCCAAAAGGTTGGCTACCGCTGATTCAGAAAGTATTTGTTCTCTTTTCCAAATATTCTTTTATGAAAAGCATAGACTACTTTACAACAGGAACAGTATTAAAGGTGAGCTACAAATCGTGGAAGCTCAGGCATCTCGTTTGGAGGCATCAGGCACTCCATGTGGCCAGTCCTCATGGCGTGGACACAGCCAAAGATGGGACTAGTTCTGCTTCTTGCATGTGGGGGAGACTTAGACTTTTTCGCTTTCATTAACTACATATTTGAAATTCGTAGCTTCATCTTTTTCTACTGTAATCTTATAAATAGGACATGGAGTTTAACTATTCTAGAATACAAATCTTCTTGCATTTTTTTCTATAAATAATTACTTTTAATTACACAGTGTTAGAAACAAATTCTTGCCACCAAATATAAATCTCGTTGTTATTCAAAGTGAATTAAAAATGTAGACCCTGTTCTGAAATAGTTAACTTACTCCTCATAAGCCCAGGGATCACCAGGAACTTTGAGAAGCAGCAAAGGTCAGTAGTCACTGGATCTGCTTATAATTTAGAAGATGCAATTCTAGCCTAGAAATGTATTCAGTTGCTAAGTTTCCCAATTGAATGTTTTATCCACCTTTAAAACAGGATAATGGCGAGGAGTAGTTTTATTTACCCCAAAAGGATCTTTAAATTTCCTTGTGTGACATTTTAAATAAGAGAAGCAGTTTCCATCAGAAATGCACCATGTTCCTGTGCTGCCAGCCCTGTATTCAGAATCCCTGTGCTGTGTCATTCATGAAGATATCCTGGACAAGTGATGGCAACCCCAGGCACTAAACTCACTAATTCCCAGGCATATTTGTCCCATAGATATATATTGATGGCCCACTGTGTTCCAGGTTCTGTTCTAGGTGCCTGAGGTGTGTTCGAGAATACAACACACACACACAGATCCCTGCCTGCAAAGAGCTTACTTCCTAGCAGGGAGACAAAGAACAACATAGAAATAACATGTGAGACAATGATAAGCAGTATGGACAAAGAGAAAATGTAGAGCTGGCTCTGCGGGCTTTGGAGCAGGTGAAGGGCAGGTATGAGTAGAGGTTGTAATCAGGAGGGGCTCATACTAAGAAGAGACGTGAGCAGACTGGGAGTGCTGAGGGCAAGAGCCAAGTAGGTATCGGGGTTAGGAGTACTCCAGGCAGAGGAGGGATGATTGGCCCCTCCAGTCTCCGTTCCCCTCCCTATAAGTGAGAGGGTGGGATTGGGTGCTTGCGCATGTCTTCAAGCCCTAATATTTGATGAGAAGCACCTGATGACCTGCCTGTGCCAGGTAGCACTACCCTGGGCCTGTCCCCAAGCCTGTGCCAGGGGAGGGCTTTGAAGGCCTAGATTTTAATCTTTCTGGTTGACCAGCCCTTTTGCAAACTATGGACAAGCCATTTCTGCACATCCAGATTTGGTTTATACAGCTACCAAAAAAAAAAAAAAAAAAAAAAAAAAAAGTGAATAGGTTGCTTCCAAGTTTTAGAACATGAGTCTAAAATTAATTTTAATTAGCATATTTTTGCTTTCTTACTTTACTTAAAATACAGTGAGGAGCAAAACTAGGCTTCAGTTGGTGTTAAATGATTTGCCTTTCTACTTCCTTAACTGGCCTTAAAAATCTCTGCAACTATTGCATCTCTGTCCACCTGTCCCTAATTGTAGCGCCAGTGACAGGTGGACAGGGCAATGGAGTGGGGCATGTGGTACAATGGACAGGCTGTGGGAGGCGTCTGCAGCCAATGGACTGGGTCTGAATCCTGGCTCTGCCATGTATTTACAAGCTTTAGGCAAATTACTTCACCTGTCAGAGCCAATTTCTTCATCTCTCTAACTGAATTGAAAATAATAGTTACCTGCAACAATATCATGAGGATTAAATGGAAACTTAAGTACCTTGAAAAAGGCTGGTATTTTGTAAATGCTTCATGTAGAAAATTCTATTATTATTATTATTACTGATTCCTACAATAGAAGAAAATTCATCTTGTCGTACCTATATTATTTCCCTTTATCTTCTTGGAATGTTTTTTTTTTTTTAATGAATCTAATAAAGCTTAGGTCCTTGGCTTCCTGATTGCACATGGCAGAGCTGGCCCCAGAACCTGGGGGCCTGGAGAATGTGAGACCCCGCCACTAACCAGCTGTGTAATACTCAGCTCAATCCCTTCTGAGCCTTAAGAAACATATCTGTAAAATGGGAATAAGGATTCCACCTCGTGGGGCTGTTCTGAGGACTTCATGAGTTAATACATGTAGCAAAATACTTAAAGCAGTGCCTGGCAGTGTTCCATAAGAAACTGTGGTTCCATAAGAAACCACTCACCTGATGCTTGCTACCTGTTCAGCGGGAGCCCTGCTCTGCTACCCATGCTCTATGTCGCTGCATCAAACCTCCCCCATGAAGCTGCAGTTTCTCTAAAAATGTAAGCTCCACGAGGGCAAGGATTGTTTTCAACTGTTTTGTTCTTCACTGAATTTCCAGCGTCTAAAACAGTGCTGGCACCCAGTAGAGATATTTCTGAATGAATAACTGAATCAGTCAGTCAGTCCAATGAAATAATGTAGATGAGAGGCACCATGCAAGTTCTATATATATTTTGGGTACTCCCTTAGTTTTCAGTGTCTTTCCTAAATTTTAGTCTGATATTTTTTTTCTTTTTAGCAAATAATGAGCATGTCCCCAGCATATACCAGCATCTGGTTATAAATTGCAATTTTCAACACTTTTTAAAAATCTCACTGCAAGGCAGTGATGCAGGTGTTTCTCTTCACTTCACAGCAAGGAGGTTTATGATTGATCTCAATTCAGTGGCATAAACAGATGCTCCTTGGCACCTCCTCCCTCTGCTGTGGAACGTTAATGAGTAAACAGTCTGAGCTGTTATGTGGCTGCAGTGGCAGCCGCCAAGTGGCTCCCTGCGTCCGGGGCTGCCACAGTCCTGCCATGGAGGTGTCCCATCAGGCATGTGCGATGCTGTGTGACCAGAGCACCTAGGAAGCAGGTCTGGGCGGAGCCCAGACAGCAGGCACTGTCCCCCACAGGAAAAGCAAGTGAGACCTGCATGTTCTCCAACATGATACCCAGTTACCCTGTGCTGCATTTTTTCCTGTTGAATATTGTACTTTGGTCTGAAACAGATGGCATGAAGCCACAGAGACATGCTAATAGCTCTCTCCAGAAAAGTGTGCATAATCCATCTGTTAGTTCCTTGTAGGAAAAAAAAAATGATGAGGAGGGGGGAAAAATGTCCTGCCACCAACAGTAGATTCACCAGAGATCAGAGCACTTACAGGTCTTGGAGTCTAGTTGCATCCCTGGAAGGATGCAGTGAAGTATTCATTCTACTATGACTCACTCACCTTTCCCCAGCTCAAGCTTTTATGGAGCAGCCAATGTGTGCCCCAAACTGTGCTAGACACAAGGGCTAGGGGAGATAAAATAAAGCGTTTCTGCTAGAAGGTGGTTTCTAGTCTAATGAGGGAAGACAGACAGAATAAGCAGGCAATTACAAGGCAGTGTGACAAGTGCCATGAGAGAGATGAACATGAGGACTGTGGAAGCTCAGAGAACTGAGAACCAGTGAGCCAAGAGGTCAGGGAACAGGGAGGTGATGCTAAACTGAGTTCCAAAGAGTATATAAGGGGTAGATACACAAAGAAGTAGGAGATGCTTTCTAAAGGCAAATGGACCAGCAGAGGCGAGAGAGAGCAAGTTGAGTGTTGTCTCCATTGGCTGGAGGAAAAGGTGCCAGTGGGAAAAAGATTTGAAAATGGGGATGAAGTGCTGGGTCTAGCAAAAAGGGGAGGCAAGATTCAAACCCAGCCAGGCCTGGTTCCTAGTCCTCTGCCCTTCCCACTGAGACACGCTGGCTGTGGAGGCTGTGTGATGTCAGAAGCCTTTAACAACTGGCAGTATTGTTCTCACCCCCACACGTTGCCTGGCTTGCTCTCTCACCGCAGTCTAGTTTCTGCTTACGAGTCATCCCCTTAGAGAGGTTTCCCTGACCACTGCTCTGGCAGGCAGGCTCCATGAGAGCAGGGACTTCTGTCTTAGTCATCCCTGCATCCCCAGTCCCTAGCACACAGCTGGACACTCAGGGGTTTGCTCAGTACCTTTTGGCCAGCCACCTGACTCCAGGAATCATTCCTTCCCAGGATGCCTGACTTTCCTTTTCCACCTTTCAGGTTACGTTGCCATGGGCGCCGTCCTCCCATCCTTCTGGGGCCAGCAGCCCCTCGTCCAACAGCAGATCGCCATGGGTGCTCAGCCACCAGTCGCTCAGGTGATGCCAGGGGCTCAGCCCATCGCATGGGGCCAGCCGGGTCTCTTCCCTGCCACTCAGCAGCCCTGGCCAGCTGTGGCCGGGCAGTTTCCGCCAGCCGCCTTCATGCCCACACAAACTGTTATGCCTTTGCCAGCCGCCATGTTCC